AAAGGGGAAGTCAGTTCCAAATTTCAACAGTTCTATCACATGGTAGAGACTCAATTTCATACTCGAATTCAGATTCTTCGTTCCGATAATGGCAGAGAATTTCTCAACCATGATCTGAATCAGTTCTTTCAAGATCATGGCATCATACATCAACGCTCATGTCCTTACACTCCTCAACAGAATGGTGTAGCAGAACGAAAGAATAGACACTTATTGGAACTAGTTCGTGCCTCACTCTTTGGTGCAAATATGCCTAGGTCCTTTTGGGGAGAGGCCGTCCTCTTTGCCGCATACCTTATAAATCGGATTCCCTCCAGTATCCTCCAGTTCAAAACCCCCCTTGAAACACTCCACCACCATACCCAAATACCTCCCACCCAAAACCTGGAACCCCGCATTTTTGGTTGTGTGGTGTTTGTCCACTTACATGATCACCAACGCAGCAAATTGGATCCCCGCGCCGACAAGTGTGTTTTCATTGGTTATGCACCTCATCAGAAAGGTTACCGGTGTTATCATCCTCCTAGTCAAAAGGTTTATACTTCGATGGATGTTGTGATCCGGGAACACGAGCTCTATTTTTCAGATGCACAGGAGGACACTTTTCTCAAATTTCAGATTTTTTCCCTTCAGCCGGTTTTCCAGATTCGTTCCAGACTCAAAACAACCGGTCGCCTACCTCTAGCGACCGGTCGCCCTACGAAAACGATCGGTCGCCAGATGAAAACGACCGGTCGCAAACGACTCTGCTTGAAAGCGACCGGTCGCATGTCTCTACCGACCGGTCGCCACGCACGTCAACAACTCTGCCTGAAAGCGACCGGTCTCTTGACCCTAACGACCGGTCGCCCCGCAAAGATCAATGAGAATTCCGAAGCAGACGGTGAAGCGAGTGGAGCGAATGAGATCAAAGGCAAGCTTTTTACAGACAGCGAAGGCAGGCGAGGCGACGATCTCTTTGACAACGAATTTGGCAATGACGGATATGTCACGGCTGGCTGCGGATTGCTAGAGGGCTTAGAGGAGAGCGTCGGACCGGCGGAGAGAGTCATTGGAGCGGAGGTTCACTTGGATCTGAGCAAAAGTATGTCCATTTGGGAAGCTGAGATCAACTTCAATCGATTGAGCTGACCTATTTTAGGGTTCGTTAGGATTTGAGAATTTGGGACATTAAGAGAGAGGAACTGAGAGTTTGGGCAGATTGCAGTAGAAATGCAGATTATGCTAAGCTCTAGCTTTGCTTGTATTGGTTTTTAGTTTGAAGAAGAAAATGATAGGGGTAAAAATCATCAGGCTTCTTGGAGGTTCAGTTGGTTGACACGGCCGGGTTGGCAACAACAGAGTTCATTGTCAAAAAGAACTGCACCAGCAACCCCCTTCGTCTCCCCCAACCCCCATAGCTTTCACCGCCGCCCCCTTTGCGAACCTTGACCCAACCCCACAAAAAAAAGAAGGCCAAGCGATCTGACAGAGCTGACGAAGCTCATAATTTTCTCGCCAACCTTAGACAAATCTATCTCATCACCTAGGAACAACAAAAATGGGACGAAGAACAAAACCCTAGGACTCTCCAAAATCTCCCAAACCTCAAATATTTCGTCACTCCAAAATCTCCTTTTTTGGCCTTTGCTGCGCACCCTCTTTTCTGTCTTCCTCCATTTCTTCTCTTTTGTCTTCTTCTTCAAGCTTTGTAACCAATCTGCTATCGAAGTCTTGGCCACCAAGGTGAGTGTCTCCAGCCGTTGCCTTTACTTGAAAGTCACCAGAAGTGCTCATGGTAAGCAATGACACATCTAAAGTGCCACCACCCAAATCAAATATCATCACGTTTTGTGGGCTACTCCAACCGGCCTTCTTGTTAAGGCCATAAGCAATGGCAGCAGCACTTGGTTCGTTCATAATATGCAACACATTTAGGCCAGCAGAGATACCTGCTTCTTTTGTAGCTCGGCGCTGTGAGTAATTGAAGTAAGCAGGGACAGTGATAACTGCATTTTTCACAGTTGAGCCCAAGTAGGTATCGGAAATCTTCCTCATCTTTTCCAGAACTATGGATGAGATATCTTCAGCAGAACAATGTTTCTCTTGGCCATTGTGTGTAACCACAATCATGGGCTTGTCACCTGGACCTTCAATGACCTTGAATGGCCAGAGCTTCACATCACTTTGAACAGAGGCGTCACTGAATCTCCTACCGATTAACCTCTTTGTATCTGCAAATGGATGCCAAGTTTTATCAGATAGCATGAGTTAAGTAGGTATTTAATACAAGTATAATAGCTTCTTAACCAATACATAACTTTTTTCTACACCTCGGAAGGATCTTACTGAGAGTTTAGACAATTTTAACTCCCTAAAAAAAATCTTAAACTACAATTCATGCAAACACAAATATTGACTGGCATGAAAAATTAAAATCAATCTTTGGATTTGTTCAAGCAAAGCACTTTAATCCTACATATGATACGTACCAAAGATGGAGTTGGCTGTGTTTCTGACGACTTGGTTAAATGCTGCATCACCTACCAAATGAGTCTCATCAGTTTCAGTGAAGGCAACATAAGATGCAGTCTTCCTGTTCCCGTGATCATTGTGGATGATTTCTACATGATCCTTCTGCCACACGGCTACGCGGGAATAGGTCGTTCCCAGATCGATCCCGATTGCGTGATCTTAATGAGTCTCATCAGTTTCAGTGAAGGCAACATAAGATGCAGTCTTCCTGTTGCCGTGATCGTTGTGGATGATTTCTACATGATCCTTCTGCCACACGGCTACGCGGGAATAGGTCGTTCCCAGATCGATCCCGATTGCGTACTCTTCTTCTTGAGGAGGAGAGGGAGGAGAAGTATGTCTAAGTCGTAATGTGCGCTGTGGATCCAGACGCATTTCCTCTTTGAACAGTAACTCGCACAAGTCATCCCAACGACTTACTGGATTGTGTTTTATCCATGTAACAAAGGGATTGTACTGCTCTGGTAATCCCGCCAGGATGTGTACATGGAGTAGGTCTTGACTTTCCACAGGAGCACGGGCGGCTGCGAGATCGGTCTCCAGCTGTTTGATTTTTTCCAGATACTCAGCCATCGGAATAGTGGGATCTTTCTTGACTTTGTGTAGATCAGATTTAAGCTGATAGATGCGAGCATGAGAGAGATGGGCGAAGTGTTCCTCGAGATTTAGCCAGACCATTCGTGAAGAGTCAGCTCCGGCCATGACAATTTGTTGAAGACTATCAGATAGAGTGGCTTTCAGCCAATTCAAAGCCTTTTGCTCTCTGTTGAACCAACTCAAACCCTTTTGATGTCTGCCGGACCAATTACTAAAGGTAGACTGAAGTCGCCCAGGACGAGGCTCTGTTCCATGAATGATTCCAGAAAGATTGTGGTCGTCAAAATATGAAAGAGAAAAATATTTCCATTGTTGATAGTTATATATATCACTCGTAAGTTTGATCGGAACTGGAAATGGTGGCATGTTTTCTACGGCCATAGAAGCACCTGCAGGAGACTGGCTGGAAGCAGAAGTTGATGAGTTTATTCTCTTTTAAGTTTAATGGCTCTTTAAATATATATACACTTTTGATTACTTTCAAATTAATTTTTTTTAGTTTGAAATCCTGACTCCTCTATCATGTCACTGTCGATAGTGACTTGACCAAATTGTCTAATTTTAGAGAGGTTGGACTATTTTAACATTTGGACTTCCTATTTGTCCTTTTTTTATAAAACCCTATTTTTAGGAACCGAATTAAGTTTCAGAGAGTAGTATTATTGACTCTTTTTGCCCTTTTATGTATAGTTCACTCCTCTCTTTCTCCTTTATTCTTCCTTCTTCTTTTTGTTCCTTCTCTCTTATCTCTCTATTTCCTTTTTCTCATCCCCTTTTTTCTCTCTCTCTCTCTCTCTCTCTCTCTCTCTCTCTCTCTCTCTCATTTTTCTTTTTTATTCTTCATTTTTTCTTTCTTTTCCTTCTCGCTTCTCTCTATCTCCTTTTCCCTTTTTTTTTCTTCTTTTGCTCAGCCAGTTTTCTTCTTCCGCTTTATTTCCTTATCTCCTCTCTCTATTTAATATTTTCTGTGTTTATCCCTTCTCTCTCCTTTTTTTATTCTTCTTTTTTCATTCTTTTCCTTCTCTCCTCTCTCTGTTTTTTTTTTCTGCATTTATCTATTCTCTCTCCTTTTTCTTTTTTTGTATTCTTTTTTTCCCGCGCTGGTTTTCTTCTTCCTCTTTATTTATTTTCTGCATTATACCTTCTCTCTCTCTTTTTTCTTTCTTTTCCTTCTCTCTCTCCTTTTTCTTTCTTTTCCTTCTCTCTACGTTTCCTTTTTTTTTCTTCACATTTATCCCTTCTTCGTCTCTCCTCTTTCTTTATGTTTTTCTTATTCTTTTCCTCTGCTAGTTTTCTTCTTCTTTCTTTATTTCCTTATTTCCTCCGCGTTTACCCATAGAAATGATTTGTCTAGATCCTTGTATCTTGATCTTGAAACCAATTCACCTCCACCCTTAACTAATTTGCTTATGAGTTAAGAACCTTCATACCAGAATATGTTTTGGTTACCATATGAATTCAATAAAATTTTAAAAAACAAACACATGGAAAATTGAGATCAAACATGACATGGTTTGGGCTAGAGATGGTTGGGGTTCTTCGTTCGGCCAAAAAAAAAGGGTTGGGGTTGTTCGTTGGAGATGATTGAGTTCCATTCTCACTAGTATTGGTTCCCACGGAACTGTTCACATCATCTTTCGAGTTGTCCATCTCGTTATCTATGTTTGTTGGTATCAATCCATATCATCGTCTGACATTTCTCAAAAGTTGTCTTCTCTTACAGTTCTTGACTTTTAAGTTTCTGTGGCTGTTAATCCCCACGACTCTTTCTACTTTATCTCAAAACCACTCATTCTTGTTTAGATCTTCTTGGTATTATTTCAAACTCCTATTTTGAAACTAGTTTTCAAAATTCCTATTTATACTAACTTGCTCTCCTCTTAGAGCTCAACCATTTTTCATTAAAAAAACAGAAACTCCATATTTTCCAAATCTGATGCAGACCTAGTTCTAGTTCTTATTCTTTTCCTCTGCCAATTTACTTTTTCTTTCTTTATTTCCTTATTTCCTCCGTGTTTACCCGTAGCTATAATTTTTCCTTATATCTTGAAACCAATTCACCCCACCTTTAACTCATTTTCTTATCAGTTAAGAATCCCTTCATACCAGAATATGTTTTGGTTACCATATCAATTCAATAAATTTTAAAAAACAAACACATGGAAAATTGAGATCAGACATGAATATCTAATAAAATTATGCAAAGCTTGGGTTGTTTTTCTCTGTTATCTTAGCTTTATCATTGAGCGTGAGCAACTTCCTTGGTGATCCATTTTGAATAATTAATACTATTGTCATCATATAACAATAATTATAACCCTTAAAGAAACAATAATTATAACGAAAGAAGCTTGAAATCTTGGTCGTAATAGAAAGCTTCAAAGGTGAGGAGTCACTCCCGATATATTTAAAAAAACAAGAGAGCAAAAGTTACAGTGACTAGTACAAATAAATGGAACATCAAATGTTAACAAAAATCCTTCCTGCAAGACAAATTGTTAAAATAGTCCGACCCCTCCAAAATTGGACAAACTGGTCAAGTCATTATTCGACAGTTATATTAAATTACTCTTATGTCACTATCGAATAGTAATTTCAATGTTAATGTCAGACAGTGACTGGATCAGATTGTCCAATTTTAGATAGGCTAAACTATTTTAACATTTTGCCTTCCTATTTGTCCATTTTTGTTAAAACCCCTAAATGGAATATATATGTAAGGTTTTAATTTTTAGTTTTCCTTGAAATTTGTTTAACTTCTTGTAATAAGCTTGCTCAAAAAGGATTTAGATTAGTTTTAGGTAGTTGGCATATTGTGGTCCACACAAAAAGATTGTCTTGATTGGTTTCTCCTCAACAAAGCGGCTTTGGCATTACTCAATAAAGGTAAAATCATGCATTGCATTTCATTCCATGCTGCTGGTGCACCTGAATGACCTGTCATCCCAATGGTACAATTTTACCATTTCTGTTATTATTTGAAAGGTTTTTTTTTTTTTTTTTAATTTTAACGTTCTATTTTCTGTTTTAATATTTTGGCTATTTTCTTTTATTTATTATGTGAGTTACAAATTGTTTAATTTTCCGTTTTTATTTTCTATTCATTGCCTTAATTTTTCTGGTTAAATGTGTCTAGAGGTTACAAGTGTTGGATGTCTATAAAAGGTCACTCCTACTGCACATTTGAAACACGCCACAATCAGATTTCTCTATTCTCATACTTTCATATATTCCCTACTTTTCATATTATTATTTTGGGCAACGGTTCTGTGGCTTGGAGATTTTTATCCAACTGTGAACGTGCTTATAGCGAACCTTGAGCCTGCGTATTGGGGTCGTATCTTAGAGTCTTGAAGACCGTCATTACCTGCACATAGGGAGGCTACAAAGGCTTTGTAACAACGTTTTTGACGTGCTTTACCTATACCAGACTTGCTTTCTTATTTTTTACTTATTTTATTTATCTGTTTGTTTCTTTAATTTTACTATATTGTTAAAGCTTTATTTTATATATTATTTATATCTAAAGGTTTGAATAAGAATTGTATTATAAAAAAATAAAAACCACAATTTTTAATAACAATCTAAAGCCTTTGTAAGTTAAAATTATTCTTACCATATTTGTTGTTGCTATAAATTTCAATTTATTTTCCTTCTCATAAAATTCAGAAAAATAAAATAAAAGGGAACATCTACACATTTTCAAAGTCAAGGCAGCCACACGTTTTTTGTTTATATAAAAAGTACAGGGAATTTAAAATTTTAAAAAAAAAAAAGAAAAAGGAAAGTTTGTCTAAATCATAGATACTTGGTTTTGTCTTGGTTGTAAAACTAAAGATTTCTTAGATTTGCTTTGTTATCGCTCATGTAGAGTGAATTTAAGGCCGGAGGCCTATTTTGTAATCTGTATGCCTTTAGCATTGTGTGTACTGGCAGTTGAGAATTTTATTGATGTTGTTTTTCACATGTTGAAAATTTTGGGGAAAAAATCCATTGTTCAGGAGGGAAGAATCTGTCGAAATTTTAGTAGAAGTCTCGACCCTTTTTTCCTTTGTTTCGGAGGAAGGGGACTATTTTATTAAGTGGGCCGGCATTAGTTAGATGTCGGAAAAACCAGGAAATCCGTGACGGGTCTGGTCGAGTCCCGTTATTGACGGAAAGCTAGTATTTGCCAGACTGATTTGGGTGCTCCCCCTTCCTTTTCTTTACTATGGAGCAGCTCGTTGAAATCCCCAAAACAAACCCAAGGGAGCTTGAACTCAGTAGCCAAACTTCTGAGTAGTTGTCAGGACTTATATCTTTCTGTATAAGAGGGGTAGCCATAGAAGCGAGTAAAATGCCAATGCGCCGGATCACCAAAACCTCCAACCTCCCCATCAATGTGGTGAAGAGATGCGGATCGGATGGCCATATGGCATTCAGATTTTCGTAAAAAACACAGCCCTCCAAACTTGCCAAGGGCATCAACTACGAAAAAATTATCAAAACCTAATTGAATTGACAAAGAAGAAAAAAATTGACGATTGCACCTAGTTTCACTCAGGAAGACAATCGTGGGTCCTTATGCGACCATCAACCGTCGTAGTGCCTGAATTGCCTTGGGGCTCCCAAGCCCCTGACAGTTCCAACTAAGGACGATCATGGCTCTCAGTGGAGCTAAGTGTGCTCAGACTCCGCCGTTCCACTGTTTCTTATGGTACAGTCATAAGAACAAATTTTTTTCAAAGGAGGTGCCAGTTTCCCCCCACTTGTGACATAAAGGGCAGGGCGTTTGCGGCTGCTAATTTCTATATGGTTTCTCCCTCCAAGTTGGTGCATGACGTCTTTGAGTTCGTTGTTTCCTTACTTGAGCATGCCTCGGTTTGGGGAGTCCTGCATGGGCACTACTTCGAATAAGGGGGCTAAGATTAAAGGGGTCGGACCTCAAGGATGGATTTGTGTCAGGGCCCACATGTTGATTTGCATGCTAGTTTAGCCCAATAAATCCTATAGAATGTTCATGCACATGGGTTTTACTTAAAGGCTCATGCACTGGCCCAGCTACAATATCCTCATATCGCTCCACCTGTGATGTGGAAGGAACCTCCTTCATTCCCATATCCTGGAGAATGGCCCCACCATTTGGGAGCAAACAGTGGTGCCAATCAAGTTAAATGCATGCAAATCTTGGGATAGGAAGACAACTCTCAGAGAGTTAATGGTCTCTAGTCCTCTATCTCGGTAAGGAATGATAGGTGATAATCCCTGGAAGTCAGCCTCCGAGTCATCCGCAATCATGTTCAAATCCGGGATGCATGGGTAGGACGGGGATCGTGTAGATTGACAGACAGCAAGGTCGCCATGATTGTCTGACGCAGAATCAGGAAGAGGATTATCAGGCCTTATGTTATCTCCCTGAA